AGAGGAGACAATACTCCATATATAAATACCACAAGAAAGATGCTACAATTATTCTCTGCTTGTATAAATCAAATTTGCCACCTTATAGAACAACAAATTCTTCCCCCTTAACGTCAAAGCCAAAATTTGACATTACTGAAACCTAGGTGCAGAAGAAAAAGATCTCCCCTCAAAGCAGCAGCTCAGTCTACCAGTTCCTTAGAGGAGACAATACTCCATATATAAATACCACAAGAAAGATGCTACAATTATTCTCTGCTTGTATAAATCAAATTTGCCACCTTATAGAACAACAAATTCTTCCCCCTTAACGTCAAAGCCAAAATTTGACATTACTGAAACCTAGGTGCAGAAGAAAAAGATCTCCCCTCAAAGCAGCAGCTCAGTCTACCAGTTCCTTGCAAGTATAACAATACGCTAACAGGCATAGGCAGCTCCCCAAAGTTCCTGCTAGGTGGATATACAGATATGCAAATCTGTAACTGGATTTCTAAAAATCAAAATATACTACATTATCCCATTCCCCTTGCATGTATCTGGAGATTTCAAGTGACAGGCAGGAAATATAAACCAGGCATCTCAGCAATGAACTGCATGTGTAGCTGACAACATTCATCAAGAGAATATGCATGCATCTGATAACTGACCATCCCTATACAAATTATAAAAAAATCTATATTTACATGTGGGACAAATTTTTCAGGGACACTGCCTCTTAGCCTGGGCAACTGACTATCTAATAAGTATCTCTGCAAGAGATTCAGGAATAGGATTTTTCCTGCCCTAGGTTGTAAAACTGCTATCAAGCAAAAAGGAGCAAATTATTCATTTCTCAATTTAGTGGCTGAGCTGTAAAATCACAGAAAATAATATCTGGAAGTGTTCCAAATAAATAAAACTAAAAAAAAAACCTCATTACAATTTTTTTTTCATTTATTTTTATTTCATTTTGCTTGGCTTTCGTTTATTGGGGTTATTTTCCTTAAAAGTTAGCTACATTTAAACATGAAACAAGTGAGAACAACGTATTGATGCACTGAATTTTGAAAATGCTTAAATGTAAATTTTAAGAAAGAAAACATCCCTTACTTCCATCCAAAATTATTCACCGAACACAACTACATTCCCACACCTTTCAACCTGCCCAGGACTACGTTTATCAAAGAACAATCTTTTTGCCTGAAGAATTTCACCAGTATCTACTCCAGAGAGGCTGTTCCTGCCAATGGAAGAAGCCGAAAGTCTCTGCCCCAAGACCTCGCAGTCACAGGGCAGAGATCAAGAGGACTCGTGCAGTCCAACAGCCGCTACCTGCTTACGGGGTTTAGGTTGACAGTCATCCTTTAAGATTTAGGGCTCAGGTCACACCTGTATGGCTTTTCTTGATTCAAAATCACAGGTCCCGCACCTATCAAAAGAGCAGTAGCTGTATAGTGTGTCTGGCTTCAGCTTTTTTGGAAAGACAGGAGCAAAGGGGGAACAGGGGGCAGGACGCTGGACTTAATGCAAAACTCAGCAGTTTCAAGCATTTGCTTCAGGAATATACCTTGGCAATGCTGATTTAACTGGAAATACTCACAAAGAGCATGAGATATACCAGAGAACACAGTGAGAGAGGTATTAAAGGACATTTGTGTTCGTAGTGGAGGATCTTAAACTGAGAAACTTTCCTCACAAATTATTGCACCACATTGGGGCACAGAGTAAATGTATGTGCCACTTTGTGCTTGGCAGCGCTATGAGGCTTTACATCCCATAAATCTATAAATTGAATTCATCCTGCTTACACCCTTAGTCTTATAAATTGTTAGACTAGGAACAGCTAATGGATCAGCGGGTGATTTATTTTTAAAAGATGCATACTGCTGCTTTTTGGGAACTGAAAAGGATATGGACACTGGATGTACCCTTCCCAAAGCCTGGGTCCCAGGTAATGAGGAATTATTTTGTACCGTCCCCTGTCCCCATGCACAAGCTTTATTCAAGTTCTCAGAGGGGACCTACTGTTCAAGAAGATAAAGGTCTGGCATTGTGCAGAGATGTACTGCAAAGGAAACCACATGCAAAGAGCGGATAAGGCATCAGTAACGGTGCCAGGTAATGTATAATGCAAAAGGATGGGTATAACTAATTTATTAGTATAAATTTGACTCTTAAAAGAAAAGCATATGCAAAGAAAACTCCAAGGGAGCAAACCCTACCTGCCTTGCTCTTGAGACAAACCCTGACTTCACTAAAACTGAGTAAAACAAAGGAGCTTCACCACAAATGATGCTACAATTTACAACAGGAGACTCATTCCTGTACCTGCAGCATCTGCCAGTGCAAATGCTGCCAATCATAAAAGAAAGAAGGATCCATCATTTCCCAATGGCTTCTCCACTGGCTCAAGTGGGAGCATGCTGCTTAGCTCGAAGGAGCTGCTTTTCGAGCTCACCCCTGAAGTCAAAGTCACTTACCTTTTAGAGAGGCAACGTGGGATAAAGCTTGTGCGTAGGTGGCTGTGTTGAGAAGAGTCCCCGGCAGGCAGGAAGGGAAGAAAGGTCCTGTAGGACCCACTGCTCGACTCAGGCTGATGGAGAAGAGAAAACAACTTACAAAACCAGAACTAGCTGATTCCAAAGACAGCATATGTGCATGCACACAAACACGTTGGTGTCTCAGTGTCCAACCAGATGGGACCAAGCCTGGATAACATTAGCCTCCCACAGCCAACAGCTTCTCAACATCTCCATTGGGAGCAGTGAGTTGCAAGAGAGACAGCTCATCTTCTAATGATTTGGGCTCTACCTGAAGACGGTACTGTGTAGGTCAAGGATTACCAGCAGGCAAGTCTGTATGTATGTACATATGTACGATGCATGCTTGCCCCAAAGAGAAGCAGCTGATAACATTTATTACTCTTACCTCTGCTGGATCTCCAGACTCTCTTTTTTATTCCTGGTTTGATCTGCTGGAGAAGGGGAATTTAAATTCCTCGATGGAGGCGGCACCTCAGCCATTGTTTCCTTAGAGCCCTCTTGGTCGGAAGCACCCCTCTCTGTTTTCCTCCATTTAGCTCTTCGGTTTTGGAACCACACCTGGAGCAGGAGAGCAATCCAGGCTGAATACCGTGTTTAGCCGAACGCAAAGGAGGAAATTGTAGACTGTTACTGTAGTGAAATCAGCCATTTAGAAGCTTGGATAAACTTCCTCTTATTTTGTGTCCCCATTGTTATTCTAGTTGAGCCTTAGGATTACATTTGTATCTGGAATATTTCTGTGTCTAAAGACATTCAAAAGGCATGTTAAAAAAAAAAAAAAGTTTTGATATTACTGTGCCAGTTAGCAAAACATTTAAACATGTGCTTGCCTTTATGCACACATTGAATTCTCACTGATTTATATGTTTTAACACGTCTAAAAGCCTTTTGTATAGGGATGGACTTAAATACGTATCTAAGCACTCTGACGAAACCGTATATAAGTCTTTAAATGAGCTGCTGCTAGAATCAGAGAGGTCAGAAATTAAAAGGTATGTATTAGGCCATCTTATCCAGCCCATTTCCTGGAGAGGACTGATACTTTCTGTTATTCCTCTGATGTATTTGGCCAGTCTGCCTTTAGAGGAGTCAAAAGGTGGTAGACACTAATTTTGGAAGATCATTCTGCAGTTTAATACATGCCAGTTTCCAAAACTTATTTTTTCCCTGTAATGCAATACAAATTGTTCATGTTCTTGATTTTATCCCCCGACTCTTAGTCGAAACACCTTTTTTTTCCATTTACCTCGAAGCTGATGCTCTGAAAGCACCTTATTTGAGGTGGAAAATGCCAAGCCTCTCTTGAGGTCAGGAAATCCACATTTTAATACATGACTTCAAGTATAGGCGATATTGTTATTATTATTATTCTCCTCCTACAACTCCATTTTAGTTAGCTGCCTTTTAATTGCATGTATCAGCAAACGTTGAATAATGATTTTATCTATATTCTAAATTTAGAGCAGTTAAATGCAAAGCAAAATGCAGACACTTTCTTGCGTCTTAATTGAATGAAGGTCACAGCTATAACAACATTTAATTGAGCTATTTTTCATTATCATATTTTAATGACTTTGCACTGACAGTTCGCCTGCTTCTGAGGAAAGAGCATGATGAAGTCGTTTATTTCCCTATTTAGTTATTGTTTGACAACATCATCTTCGATTAAGACTCTGCTTTATAGCACATTAATCATATTTGAATGAGCAAGGGGTATAAATGTAAACATATCTCCCATCCTCTGTGTTTCCCCATGTCCCTGCATGAAAGCAGCCTAAACAAATGCTTGCATCTATTGTCTGTTTGCATAATAGCCAACAACAAGGCTAAACAGCAGTCCTCAGCAATCTAATTGTCACCACCCCTATCTCACCCTTGCACCTTTCAGGAAGAAGTTATGATCTTCCACTTCTGAATGCTCAATAATTGTGCCATTTATCTCAATTTGCAGTTCAGTCTTTAGGCACCAATAGCCAAAATGGCATTTTTTTTTTTTTTTTAAGCCAGTACCTACAGTGCAGTGGCAAAAGGAGATTTTCATTTCCAAATAATAATCAGTTTAATTTGCCCGCATATGACCAATGATTCATGTTCAGATTTAATAATCAGGATCGCATAATCTGATTATAGGAGAAATAATTTGTTTACAATCCCCAATTTACTGCGGTGAATTCCATTATCTCTCTTCAGCCATTGGGTTTTAAGAGATACTAACATGACCCTAGGGAACAAAAGGCAAGCTATTATATTTCCTACAATTAGATCTTTGCATAGTCTTAACCCCGAGCACCTAAATAAAAAAAAATACAAAAACAGCGTGCAGAAAAGCCCCATAAATAAAATGAATACATAATCGTGTTCAAAAAATGGCTTGCAACTCTGTGGTGGATGCCTGCAGAGTTATAGGGATCCATCTCTGACAACTGCAGGACTGCTGTTCTTAGCAGAGTTTATACACACAGAGAGTTAATCCCTGGATATGGAGAAACAAACACCTGGGTCAAAAAAAAAGGGGGAAAAAAAGTGGGGAGAAGGAAAGAAGAAAGGAAGGGGTGGAAAAGAGTGCGGGTGGAAAGAGAGCAATCGTGGCCAGTGGTATTTATTGGATCATACTAAAGGTGTGGGAATTGCTCTGCAGGCTCTTTAGCTGTCTAAATTAAGTGTTTAGAAAGAAGGCGAAAGGGAGAAAAGTTGAAGAGGTGCAGAAGATTTCTTCCTGGCAGCGGGGCTCCCTGCAGTTGACTAACCCCACTGCTCGACAGTGGTCATAGTTGCTTTGGAGAATCACGTCTCAGCTCTTTTCTCCACACACACCCCCTCCAAAAGCAAGGAAATGGATGTGCATTGATGTAATTTAGTACCTTGGAGACGCGGACAAATTAGTGTAGAACATTATCACTAGTTAATTATGAATGACCGATTAATCAACCTAATCTAATATTCCACATTATGTTGATGTTATTAAAGTGCATCATGAAAATGACAGATCGTCTTCATTTGCGTTCTTTGGCCAAATGTGCACTCTGCAGTCATGATTTCAAAAAAAAAAAAAAAAGTTTGCCGGTTTGAATACCCGGGAGTTAATAATTCCCCAGAATGTTTACCTGCACCCTGGCTTCCGTGAGGTTGATTTTCATAGCCAGCTCTTCCCTAGTGAACACATCGGGGTAGTGGGTTTGAGCAAAAACAGCTTCCAGTGCCTCGAGCTGGTGGAGGGGAGGAGAGCAAACATCTGTCAGGGGCCGGGCGCGGCTTGCAGCGCGGTACGGGCGGGGGGCTGCCGGCTCGGTGCCCCAGGGAGGTTCCAGCGAGGGATGGGGAAAGCGGGACCGCCCGAGG